CGAAAAAAAAAACACTTGTCATTTTTTTTTTTACACATAAAATATTTTATTGATAATGAAAAAAACACTTGTCATTATATATATATATATATATATATATATATACTAATATATATATATATAAAAGCAAACATTTTTTTTTCCAAGATTTTGACATTATATATATATATAAAGCAAACATTTTTTTCCAAGATTTTGACATGTGGTATAACTTTTTTATAAAGCTTCCATTTAACATATTTAATTTGACATGTGGCATAATCTTTCTATTAGGCTTCCACTTTGCATATTTTCTCAAGAAGTGTTATTGTTTGTGTTTTCCAATTAATATATTTAATGTATTAATGTATTGGTTTGATTTGGTTATTGGATTTATTTGAAGTTAGTGTTTTTAGTTTGGTTTGATCTAGTTTGTGTTTAACTTTTGATTTCTGAAACTATTAAACACGATATATAACAGATACACAATGTCTTATGCAGTTAGGCTATTATGATTCACTTGCACTCCTTGAAATTAAGAAGATTGACTTTACCCAGCACCCGCCCATACGGCACCACGCCAATCACCTCACTCTAACAACTGAGAGTCTGCCCTTTAGCCCATTAGCTCCTTTTTTTTAACCCTTGTCGCTTGTAAAGAATCCCTTCATGGAACACTTCCTTAAACTGCTGATACCCTTTTTGCCTTTGCCTTACCCTTTGCCCTTCACCTTCCAATGTTGTTTTGACACGAAGCGAAGGAAGTTAGTCAACTGACTTCGATGCTAGTGCCAGTATAGGCTTTTCCCATAGTCTATCTCCTCCCCAACCCCATAAGATGCTAATTGGGGGGACCGCTCGCTTTGGCAACATAGAGCTTAAGAACTAACTCTAGATATGCTTCGGGCTTCCATCAGAGAGGGATGCGACGCGAGATGATGATGGGTCAACCGCAACAGGAGCTCCTAGGCGGAGGTTTCTTGATCAACTTTAAATTAATAGATTCACTATGGCTTTAAAATAATGATCACATGATGATGCCCAATACGAGTCTAATATATTAATGTATTGGTTTAGTTTAGGTTTGTTTTGAATTAGTATTTTTGATTTGGTTTACTTTGGTTTGTGTTTAACTATTGTATTGTTTGGGTTTAAGTCTTCCGGTCTTTTGGAGATTCCAAATCAAATTAATGTTCATTATTAATTATTAAAACATAATCATGTTTAGTACCTGTAGTAACTTATATTGGACTTGTAACATTTCCTTTGTAACAAACGTTACAAAGGTGCAATAACCTTTATGTAATAACCTTTAGTTGTATTTTTTTTATGTAATATAACTTTTTATTTTTAAATTTTAAATAGTTTATTCTCAACTACTATATTTGTAACGTTTCCATTGCAATAAACGTTTAATTTTTATTTTTGAAATGGTGCAGTAATGACTTTCTATTTTTAAATTTTAAACAGTTTACTCCAAAGAAACAGTTTAGCTTTCTCAGGAATACTATATAAATTGTAACACTATATTCTTATGTATATTTGGCAGAGGTGTACTGATCCATTCTTTTAAATATATTATTCATATTTTATTGAAGGTTTAGAATTTTGGAAGAAATCCCTATTTAGGCCTAAACTTGTAACTTTGGGGAAAAAAATGGTCATATTTGACATTTTGGGCCAAATAGCATCTGAACTTATACCAAATAACCCAATTTATTTTATAAAAAAAATTTATGCCAAATGATAATCCAATCCCTCATATTTATTTTTTTACCAATATCTATTCAGTACTGCCAAAAACATATTTGCAGAATTTTTTTTTAATCTTTAATAAAGGATTTAGAGTTTACCTTTTCTTCCTCAGTTTCCATAGCTTCAGGATACCCATTTTGGAGTTTTGAGCCAATAAAAATAAATTTTTGGTGGACCATTGTAATCATATTCCGACCAATTAAAACTCAGTTGAGGATTATATATGTGCAGATGAAACTTATCGATTGGAGGACTCTATGGAAAGATGACTTTAGTATTTGGGTTTTAGGTTTCTAAAAACTTACTTTGATTAGGATTTAAAAGGTATAAAAGGTATAAATTTTCAATTTAAGTTACCTTTGTAATATAATAATTTTTTTCTTTATTTTTTTAGATCTGTTCATCGTGTTAACTACACGCCTATGATTTTTTGCAAATCAGGTTGAAATTAGATCATTTGGTATAAGTTGATATGTTATTTGGCCCAAAAGGTCAAATATGACCTTTTTTTTTCCCAAGGTTACAAGTTTACAAGTTTAGGGCCTAAATTGAGATTTATTCTCAGAATTTTCTACATTTCAACTATTTCAACCAATGGGGTTAGTAGTTCTTATTCACACTTTTTTTTTTGTCTCCTTTTTAAATAAATATTTAACATGTTTTTGCAACTATAAACAATCAAATATAAGTGAAAAGCGCGATGTAATTAAAAATTTAAATACAAAATAGAGATGATTGAAAAATAAAAGTGAGGATATCACAATTGTGGGATACGTCTTTCAACAATAGTGGAAATTTTATGAGTATAGAGATGATTTTGCTAGATGAAAAGATTAAGTATAATATTTTGCAATTTTATTATTTGTATAACCAACTAAAAATAATGCTATCATTTTAAATATCTATCGTAATTGTTATTTTATATTTGTTATTATAGGCAAATTATATTCATGCAAGCATAAAAAAGAATATTGTTATACAATTTCAACCACTTTTGAAAGAAGGCAAAATATATATGATAACAAAATTTTTTATCATGGATAATAAAGAAAATTTTTGTGTCGTTGGTGATAACAAGTACATGATTCAATTTTATAGTACAACAACTGTGAATAAATTGAAAATTGAAGATGATGGAATCTCAAAACACATGTTTGATCTATTATTTGCCTATTTAAATCTCTATACTCTAAAGGCAAAATTTAAAAACTTATAATAGTTTTTAAATTTTTATTTTACATTTTTTTTCTTTTTTTTCATGCTTTGTCATTTTATTTAGTCAGTAACAAGTTCTCTCTCTCTCTTCCTCTACAGATGTGAGAGTAAAGTTGTGAAAAATGATACAATTGGCAATTATTCGTCAAATATAATGATTGTGGAGCTTTAAGATCTAAAGTATATTGTAATTAGTTAATATATGGTTAATTAATTTTCAGTTTATTTTGAGCAATATTTTATTATTATTATTGTTGTTGTTTTTGTTTAGGCTTAATAGAATACATATTACTCCCACTTTCTCTTTATTTAGAGAAAACAAAAAAAGCTCTTGAATTAAAAAAGTTCGTTAAATGAAGTTTTCTCTCTAAAATGCTCTTCATTTGTTCATTAATTTTGGGAACAATAGCTAATACAAAAGGCAGTTCCAAGAAGTGCATTTATTGCCTAATTATATCATTTGGGCATCACTTTCAACCTTCTTTATTAACTCTGTCACACTTTATTAAACCAGAGACATTTTACATCATCTGTGCCTAAAAACAAAAAAAAATTTGAAGCCAAATTACAGGCCAAAACTTTAAACTTATTTATTGACGGCCATAAATTTTCAAAATTTTCAAGTAAATAAAGGAGGGAAGACTTAAATTTTGGCTCTAACTTGTTTAAACTGGAAAAGTTTTTCAACAAAATTCAAAATAAAAAGCAAAATTTGCTTCCTCCAAATTTGAATGAAATTCAGAAAATAGTGTCCAAATGAAATACATTGCGGCAAAAATTTGAGTTTATAATCAAATTCCTCGACTTTTAAATTTTTGCTACATATAAATGAAATCACAGTTAATGATCTGATTTAAAGAAAATCTATTCATTTTTCCATAACATCTAAATCGGTCGTACCATATCTAGAAATGGTCACTACTTTGCATCCTCCAAACTCGAATCCTATACATAATGAAGCAGAAATGGCTATTCGATTCATAAACGACAGGTATTGGATGTGCGATTGAAAGAGTTGCTAGCAAAGGGAAGAGTGCATGTGGGCACAACGTTCATGAATGCTTTGGTTGAAAGGAGACATCGCAAGGGTTATGCAAGAGTATTTTGTAAATCTATTTTCCTCTTCAGCACTTGTTGACTATTCAGACGTTATGTAGACTGTGAAGCATAAGTTCTCAAGTGACATGAATAATCAACTTCTTCAACCGTTTTAAAGGAGGATGTAAGATTGGCTCTTAAACAAATGCATCCAACAAAAGTACCTAGTCCCGATGGTATCTCTCTCTTTTTTCCAACCTTTCTGGGATATTGTAAGTTTAGACTTTAAGAATCGCGTTCTCTCTATTCTTAATAATTCTAAGTCTGTCTCTTCTCTCAATCATAATCATATTTCTTATCTCAAAAATTAAAAATCCTGAGTTAACTAAAGATTATCGTCCTATTAGTTTATGTAATGCTCCTTCTTTGTTCACATTCAATTTCCTTTCCTTAAAACTAAACCATGAGCAGAGTGCCGCCGATGGGAATCAGAGTTTCTTATTCTTTAATCATTCCCATATATTGTTAGTAGTTTAGTTCTATTCATTCACTTTGGAAAGGATGGTCATATATAAGCTTGCGTCTAAAGTTCTTGCTAATAGTTAAAGCTGGTCCTCCCATTGATTGTTAGCAACTCATAGTCAACTTTCTTTCTTGGCCACCTGATTACGGACAATGCCCTTGTAGCTTTTGAGAATTTTCATTTTATGAAAAATAAAACGAGAGGTAGGGGCTGTTTTGCTTTAAAATTAAACATGAGTAAAGCTTACGATCGAGTTGAATGACATTTTCTTAAGAATTTTTTATTAAAACTTGGTGTAAATATGAAGTGGGTAGATCTGATTATGAATTGCATTACTATCGTTTCATACTCCTTGCTTATTAATGGAGAGCCGAAGGAAATTTTTTTTCCCCCAACGAGGGCTTCGCCAAAGCAATCCTCTCTCCCCTTATCTCTTTATTATACGTGTTGAAGTGTTTTCAGGTCTAATTTTTAAAGCAGAACAGGAGGGATGGCTGCATGGAATCCGAATTTGCAGAAGGGCGCCTTCTATTTCTCATTTGTTTTTTTTGTAGATGATAGCATCATTTTCACAAGGGCTAAAGAGGGGGAAGCAGATGTAATAGCTGACTTTATTGCCGGTTATGAATGGGCTTCAGGCCAACAAATCAATTTGGATAAATCAGAAATCTCATTTATCAAGAGTGCCTTGCAAGTGGTCAAGGAGTTGATAAGAAATAAGTTGCGGGCTCGAGCTATCAAGCATCAATCCATGTATTTGGGTCTCCCAGCAGTGATTGGAAGGAGTAAGAAGCAAGTTTTTCAAACCATTTATGAGCACGTAGAGAAAAAGCTGAAGGGGTGGAAGGAGAAAACGTTGTCGGGTGCTGGTAAAGAAATCCTCCTTAAGACAGTTGCTCAAGTCATTCTTAACTGCACCATGAGTTGTTTTCCCTTTCCCAGTGGAGATTAGCCAAAAAATTGAAAGTTTGATGGCTAGATTTTGGTGGGATCAACGTCAAGACGAAAGAAAAATTCATTGGTGTTTTTAGGATAGATTGAGTATTTCGAAAAGTAAAGGGGAAGTGGGTTTCAAAGACTGCGCGATTTTAATTTGGCTCTTCTAGCAAAGTAATGTTGGAGGATTCTGAGCATCCGGACTCGCTATTGTCTCACATGCTAAAAGCAAAATATTTTCCGCATGTTTCCTTCATCGATGCGAGACTGGGCTTCCGCCCAAGCTACTCTTAGCGCAGTTTGATGGAAGCTAGGTCGGTGGTACAAGAAGGGAGCCGATGGGTTATTGGTGATGGGAATACTGAGTTTGGAAGGATAATTTGTTAGATATTCCAGGTCAGTTTCATCTTTCCTTGCCTGCTAACCGTGTACTAAGCTTGCCCTGCAACTTACAACTTACAAATTTAGCACTCTGTAATCCACGACACTCATTTAAGAAGCCATGGAATACTACTGCATTCTCTCTCGATTTGAGTTTAGAAGGATTATGTTTATTAAGGACTTTGGTATTAGGGATTTTAGATGACAATTTATCCCCGATTTTCATGACCATTATTTCCTCAACATTTTCTTACTTTTTTAGTTATTCATTTTAACCCAAAAAGTTAAATCTGACTTTTATTCCTAATCATAACATGTCTAATCTATCCTTTTGCACAAAAAATAAGCAATGGTAAAATAATAAAAAATTTGATGCAGGAAAAAGACAACGCAAGTCATGACTATCCAAAATGCTCAATAAGGTCATTCACAAAAATTGAGGCTTGGGTGTAAATGATTTACAAAATAAAAAAGAACTGTCCCATTCCCGTTCCTCTTGGTGGTCTGCCCGGCCACTACAAAACTAGCCTCAGCCTCACAAATTCCCACCAACAAAATAATGAATCAGCAATTTAGTCACTGGAAAACTTGTTAATGCGAACTTAAAATGGAAGGGAATAGGATCTACCTAAATCAAGAGTACTACAGGATATACCTAACTTAATCTTCCTTCCACTTGTTAACATATCTAAGGAAAGCATTGGCAAGATTCTCCCTTGGCAGAGCCCGTACACGAGTAGATCTCCGAAGCACAGCCTCCTCCAATGCTATCTTATGAGCTGCATCTTTCGATCTTTTTTGAAGTTCCGAGCTGTTAAATACATTTGTGAAAAAGCAAATCAGGCCTAAATTTTGGTGAAAATGCATAGCTAGGGTGTTTTTCTACATGGCTTTTGAACCTTAATACTTCAAAGCACATTCAAAAGCTTCTGCAGATTGCCCATCTCCTTTTGATGCACGCAAATTCCTAAGTTCAAAAACAGAGGAACCCACTAGGTCCTATTCTAATTAATAGCAGGTCTAGATGCCTTAATTCCAAGGGAAAGTAAAAGTTTTGCACATATAGAAAGTTTAGCACTTGCAAGGGTGAATTTATAGTTAGGCACTATAAGAGTCATTTGTTTGATCTGAGACTCACCATATTCTGTCATACAATTTCTGCAGCTGTTGATGAAGAGCCTTCTCCCTCTCACCCTTACAGTTCAGTGAACCCATCAAAGCATCAAGCTATTTAAAGAGTACACGGTGGAAATCATCAATATATAGAACACAAAAATATAACTTTCTTTTCTGTTTTTTTTTTCCCAAAAAACAATTGAGTAAAGCAAAAGAGTAGAAATAGTGGATATTCTGCATTAATACCTCTTCCTTGCTACAATAGTAGCCCCATAGCTTGGAGTCGGAGTTCTCAACAAAGATTCTCCCATCACGTCGGAACCACCAATACCTGTTATAGTTTCTGTCTTTACCCAATGTATTGGTGCGTAGAACTCGTTTCTCCATCTCCCGTTCAAAATATTCCCTCTGTATACGCAATTTCAAAAATGATAAATCAAGGCACAACAAATGGGTAAACACAAGCAAAATGCACAAGTAGAAGATAGATAACCCTTTGCTCTTTGCTTCTCTTTTCTATTGCTTCCTTCTTCTCATTCTTCAGGTGTTTAACTCCCATTTTGCTAGATGAATTTTTTAAATTTTCTTCCACAACTTCCACATCCCCATTCTGTTTCGTTTTGTTTGATGCAATGTCTGAATGGTGGCTTTCACTGTCAAAGATTGTAATAAATTTAAAAATTTGCGTAAAGGCACAAGCATAAAAACCTCTCTCCCTTCCTCCCCTTCTCTTTCCATATGTAAATTATACATGAACATATTGATGCATATTCAGGAGTGAGCATCTATGTATGTGTGCATGAGTGTTCAAATGCATAAGCATGTGAAAAGGCAAACACCTTTTATCAGATACATTGTTTTGCAGAGCTGAAACAACCTCCCCCTTTTTCTTACTAGCTATCTCACCATTTTCACTATGATGCTTCCCATTTGCTAACACATCTGGATTGTTTCCGATATTCTCTATGCTACATCCATTTGATACTTTATTATCAACAGGATTGTCCTTGAGCCTTTCCTTCTCTTCTCTTCTTTTTCTACCTTCCTCCAGTGCTTCCTCCCTCCATGTGGCTCCAAGCACATGACGCTGTTCTATATGTTCCTCCAACTTCTCCCTGACAAGATCTGCTTGAAGGACTTGATTAACCAATTCTCGAAGGATGCCTAACTTATGTTGAACATCTAAGAGACCATAGTGGCCACGCTTAATTGTTGCTACATGAGTGGATAGATCAGGGATGTTCATCATCTCTAAGAAATCACACAAATACTCTGTCCAATTAACTAATGTTATCTGTTACAAAGAAAAAAGGAGGAACGTCAGAAGGCATCTAGACATACAACAAGAAAGATGCTTTATCTAAAAACAATTCATAAAAGATGACAGGAAACCCAAATTTCCATAATGTTTAAAAAATATTTTTGAATTCTACCTTCATCTTTCGGTTCCTTTTCTGTACAGCCAAAAGGTATTCCCTATTGCCTTTAATAAGCAGGCGAAGAAGAGCAGAATGTATTTCAACAATGAGAATCAAGTTACTATCCTTATGGCAGATGGCATTTTCGAAATCTTCCAGAGAGAATGGCCATAAATGCAACATCCTACCAAAAGAGGAGCAAAAATCCCAGACCATTAAAAGATCACCAACACAGTCAATCTGAATATTGAAGTCCCTGGAAGGTGAAGGTCGGTCAGTGAAGACAGGATCATCTGCCCCAGGCTGCACCAATAGATCATCAATAGGATATTTGATAGGATCTTCCCTTGGCTGACCATCTTCTGCAAATTCATGTGTAGTGAAAAACTGCATATGCTATTGAATAAAAGAAGAGTGACAGCCAAATTTGAACAGGCATCATAGTATTTACAACCAAACCCACTTACTGTTCTTTTCCTTGTTTGTTGCTTCAACTTCCTCACCTTCCACTTTCTTCTTTTTATGTTTTCCAGATTGTTTCTCTTCTTCCTGGACAAAGGTGCATATGAGACCACTTGGAAATATCATCAACTGTAAAAACCATGTAAAAGTTTGAAGTACAATTACCACAGCGCCTTTTCTATCTTCGAGGTCTTTTCTTTTCTTATTGCACACTACTAATCCACCCTGGATGGAAATTTTGCCTTTTAACTCCTGTGGCGGGTCAGTTGAGATTCCATGCTTTTGTGCCAAATTGTTGTGAAGCACCCAAGGAGCACTTCGGTATGTAGATTCCCGAATAAAAGACTTCAGAATGCCTCTACTAAGAGGAAATTTCTTCCATGTTAGATCATCTCTACTTGCGACTGAAGTTTCCGTTATTTTATTATCCTTATCTAGCCATGCTACCTCATACTGGGTTTTACCAGTACCCTCCTCAAGAACCTTTAGTATCTTGCAATGATAGAGACCACCATTCTTTCTTCCTTGCAATTCGGCACCCACAAACAAATGTGTCTGCAATTTCATAGCTATGGTGTCTGCAAGATCTTTCAGCGAAAGCATACCTGAAAATCAACAGGTGATTACGAACCTGACACAAGTACATGAATAATGGAAAAAGCAACATATAAAGATCCAAAATCAACTACAGTTGGGCCTAGCGATCTCATTTACCCCGAACTTTTTTTATTATCGCATCTACCCAATACTAAAAATTTTATCAATTTAGTTCATTTTTCACTTCGAAAGCAATTTATATAGCAACACGTGTACAAGTGTCCACATATTGACCATTTAGCAAGCTTATAGATAATTGATAAAAATCTATTGAATTGAATACATTTGATAATTCACACAAAGTTGAAGATAAATAAGAACATTAGTCCATTACAATTTTGTATACAACAACTAAAAATATTTATATGAATTGAAAATAAGATACCTCTCCACCAAAATATTGAGATAAAGTCAATGACCATATAGAATACGTTTGTGATATTTCCCTGAACTTCATATCAATTCTAGAACCAATATATTGACAAGCCGCTTCAAATCCAAAGAATAGGACAATTGTTACAAAATAGAGAGTAAAATTTCCACTGTATAACATAGGACCATATAAAATTTTCTCTTTGAAATTGGAATCATATGAGAGAGAGAGAGAGAAGAAGTGCCTATTACCACTAACTCATAGAACAAATTCTACCAAAAACTAAATCCTCATTTTCATTTAAGTTGACTTTACTCTGCCGCAATGGCTGCTACTCCTTTACTTATGTTAAAAATCTGAAATAAACCTGTGCATATTTAATTTAAGGTTTTCCCAGTCGTCCAATTGACGACCTCAAAATCAGCTTGTTGGACAATCTAAAAAATATAAGTCATTCAGTTGATGACTCGTTGATTTAATAGATAGCACATAATCTGAAGGCAGCTCATATAATTTACATTAACCAATCTACCTGCATCTCAAGAAATAAGGTGAACAGAAGGACTGAATTTTCATATTCTCAAAAAATTTGAAATAATTAATACAGCAGTAAATCAGAACTACTGATAAAACTGTGGCTGCTGCTTGGGAAAATGATAATTCCACTAAAACTAGTGTAGATAATTTACTTTTCCCATAATAACCTTTATGATTGTTCATTAAATGAATAATTTTTATTAATATCTTGATGAGTTAAAGGGTGAAAAAGGGCAAAATAATTTTTTTTGACTAAATTCTTAACATGTGTGTTTTGTCAAATCATGCAAACAAAATGGGACGAAGGGAATAAACTACAACCCATCCTCTATTAGCATCATTGACAGCCTTAGTATGATCACAGTAAACAATTCACCTCCTTTTTATCTAAATGTGAAATATGCATAGCATTGAAATGAAGTTTATAGAATGAACTTCAAATGCAAAATTATAATGGATACAAATCCAAGTATAACAAATCTAATGATAAAACTATACAACTTATTCTAAAACGGATGTGGGTACAGTCCATTTTATTTCTGAAATCAAAATGCACATATCAAACTCCTCTAGGAAAGGAGTTGAACCTAACCTCAAGAAACAAATCAAGCACAGACCCGACCTAAGACTTTGACATTGTGTTGCAAAAGCATAAGGCTTCTCACCTTAGGAGAAAGCATAAAACTCTTGGCTCTAGATCAGCTGACCTTAGGAGAAAACTAAGGAAGATTACAATCCATGACTTTTCCGGAGAGAAGATCTAGCCAAACACCAAAAGGACCTTAACTCATAGGAGGAGCACCCTCTCACCAAAGCGCAGATAGAAATACACTACTTTGGGTATTAAGAATAAAATAGGAATCACTAATTAAAAAAACATATATGTAAAGAAAAGGCTTTAGAAAAAAAAAAAAAAAAGAAAAGAAAAAAAAAAAAAATACCTTGTGAGATTTCCACTCGCCAAGATTGCCGATCATATGTAGATGTACCGCCCGCCACGTGCGCGAGCTCTTCAACGCTGCTTCGGTATTGAAGGCGAACACATGATCGGGTCAAAAAGTCGCTTGAGCTGAGGGACATTCCTGCTCAATTGCGCGCGGAGTTGCTTAAGAGTATCATAATATTCAGAGAAGGAATAGCTGCGGACTGCGAGCACGCGAAAACAATCACCTAATTCACTAAAAGAGTGAAACAATTATTCCTCGAACTGGCTAGGTCATATAAGAGTTAGTTTGGATGACTAAGAAGGTCCTACTTGCCCCTTGTCAGCTATCGTGGCGCCCAAAGCAGTCGCAGTAAACTCCTTGAAATGCTGAAAAAGGTCAACCCGAGCCACAAGAATTAGGGACTTGAGGGCCTAATACTGTAGTAGTAGCCCATGTACCCAGTTCAGCTTGATGTGATTCAAGAATGCATTCCATCACCAGAATCGCCACAGTTTGATTCCCAAAAAAGCTCAGCAACTGTCGGACAAGTGGGAACCTTGCGGCAAAGAAGGAAGAACGGGAATCCGCCTTCCCGATTCAGAACGATAAATTTCCATATCCCACATATAGGACGAAACTTACCAACGAAGAGTTGGCTTCGCGAGCTTACTATCAAGGGGTTCATGCTCGGCGCATTCACGTAGGATTTCCTCTCTATAAGAAAGGATCTGCCGCTGTGAGTGATCATGCCACGAGTCAGAGAATAGATTGGAGTTCGGCGGGACCGATTGGATTGACGAGAGGTGATCTCCCACTATTCGACCATGGCAAAAATCTCCAAGTGCCTACTGCGATATGAAGAAGACCAATTGATAAGGGAAGTGACTAGCCCTCTTTCTAGGCCAAGGAAGGAAAGCACAGTAGAACTAGCTAAGCGTAGCTGGACATGACAGCGGTTGGGAGAGAAAAAGCTATCAGACATCATCCAATGAACAGACAAGCGTGATAGCTTGGCCGAAGAGATCAGGAAGAGAGAACGACTTTACTTTCTAGTTAGAAATTAGAACCTACACCAATGAAAGAACAGCACAAACCAGTTAGAGAAGATCAGAGGACGGGTTTAGCGAGAAAAAAAAAGTCCTTTAGCCAACACCTATCTTGATGAAGAGCCAAAACAGATTTAGTAGAAAGAACAGCCAGTGTCAGAGAGATGACTTCTTGTTGAACTCTTCTTTACATGAAGGGAATGAATGCCTTAATTTAATGGAATTTAATCCGATCCAACCCAAGTAGATTAGGTTAAGGCAAGCATGAGGTTAACAGGAAGTCATCTCTCTGGACACTGGCTGTTCTTTCTACGTTAAACTTGCTTTTTGGCTTCTTCATCAAGGATAGTGCTGTGAGCTAAAGACTTTTTTTTTTCTCGCTAAACCCGTCTCTGATCTCTCTACTGTTTTGGCTCTTTTTTCTTTCTATGGGTGTAAGTTCCTAATGTTCTAACTCAGAAAGTAAAGTCGTTCTTCTTCCTGACCCTTCGGCCAAGCCGCTTTGTCTGTCATTGGATTGATGTCTAAATAGCTGTTTCCCTCTCCCCAACCGCTAGTTCATGTCCGCTACGCTTAGCTAGTAGTTTCTACTGTGCTTTCCTTCCTTGCCTAAAGAAAGAGGTAGTGTTCACTTCCCTTATTTCAATTGGTCCTTTATCTATCGAGTAGGAGCTTGGAGATTTTTGCATGGGTCGATAGTGAGCGATCACAATCTCGGTCCAATTCAATCGGTCCGGCGATCCATCATTCTCTATCGTGATGATTCATCACAGCGCATATCCTTCTTATTAGAAGGAAATCCTACGTTGATGGCCGGATGCGATGACCCCTTGATAAGAAGCTCTTAAGCCAACTCCTCTTGGTAAAGGTTTCGTCTATTATGGGCGATATGGAAATTTTATCGTTCCTGATGGGAAAGCGGAATTCCCCTTCTTTCCCCTAATCTTTGCCGCCCAAGTTCCCATGTCCGACAGTTGTCTGAGCTGTTTTGGGATATCAGGAACTTGGCCCGATTGGGTTGATGTATAGGCATTCTTGACACATCCCAATGCTAACTGGTACCATGGGCTAGACTATCAGATTAGCCTCAAGTTCCTATTCTTGGGCTTCGCGGTTTGAGCCTTTTCAGCATTTCAAGGAGTTTATGATGGCATCTTGGGCGCCGAATGTACCGGGGAGTAACCTTTTAGTCATCCAAAAACTACTTTCATATAGTCACCTAGCCAAGTCGAGGAATAATTGCTCACTCTTTGTGAATTAGGTGATTGTTGCCGCGTGCTCGCCAGTCCGCAGCTATTTCCCCTTCTCTGAAATTATGAATATTAGCACTGGCATTGAGCCGAATGTCCTCAGCTCAGCGATCCTTTTTGGGACCCGATATGTGTTCGCCTTCAATACCGAAAGCAGCGTTTGAAGAGCGCGGACGTGGCGTCTGCTCTGCTATTCCGGCAACTGACGAGTGAATCTCACAAGTAAGCTATCGTAACTTGGGGTGCATACCCTGCCGTCGAGCCTCACCAGGCCCCTCCTGTATTCGTCCCAGAAATGGGTATGGTTTCTGGTTTTTCTCTTTTATTTCATTGTATCTTGTTAAATATCCAGGGTTATAAACTCGCCCATATAACAGTACGAGTAGCAGTACCTCTACTCACACCTTGACGAACTACTGTAGATGTCTAGGTAAAAGCGCGCTGTTCCTCTACGCTTAAATAAAAAAATGCCTTAGAGCAGTTAGTTAGGACATGATTCTAACGGATGACCCGACGCTCTAATCAAGTCGGCTCCTAAGGATGTTTCATCCCGCTTGCTCTAACGCCACGCTCAACAAGCACCTGCCACAGTTAAGGCCCGAAAGCGCCGGAATTCTCCATCTCATAACATTAAGTCAACCATTTTTTAAATTTCCATATTTCCAGATATAGAGAGAAAACGCTTTGCCTTTACTGGAATCTGTCTGTGTGCATTCCTTTTCTTTCTCCCATTTCTTTCTGGTTGGAGCCAAACCAGTAATTCATTTCCGACAAGTCTTTCTTCAATTTAGAGCAAGAAGGTCTCCTCTTTTTTGGGAGGAGCAGAAGCATCAAGAATGAAGTAGCCTGTATTGAAAATGAATTCACTGTACTCCATGGGGAATCCAACGCTTAGGCG